TCTAATTTTAATTTCCTTTAATATTTAGTCATGTAACTAATACTTATTAAACTTATTTTAGTATGATTTAGTACTTTTAAATTATGATCATTTTCATTATGACTTGTTAATTTGCAATATTTGTTTTACGCGATTTCATTATTATTATTATTTTGTTGGATATTTTAGTATCATTACTCATATCATATTTTGTGTTATTTTCTTAAGAAACACCTTAGATAGTTGTATTTTGGTAGGACTAAAGAAATATTTGAAGTACAAGTAAATTATATGTTTGTATGAATACTTTACCGAAAAAATTCGAAAATTCGAAAATCCGAAAAACCCAAAAAAATCCAAGGTTGAAAAACCCGAGTTTTGTTGGTTTGGTTTGGTTTATAGATTTAAAAAGCCGACTCAAATGGTTTGGTTTGATATTTGAAAAATCCGAACTAACCCGGTTATGTACAACCCTATTCGAAAGTATTGAAACTTAGACTTCTCCAAAGCTTTAGTGAATATATCAACAACTTGAGTGTTGGTACGAACAATTGTCAGTTCAATCTCTTCACTTAGAACTTTCTCACAAACAAAATGATGTTGGATCTAATATGCTTTGTTCGAGCATGAAAAACTTGATTTGACGCAAGTTTGATGGCACTTTCGTTGTCACACTTGATTTTCATAGCATAGTCTACTTTGTGGGACATGTCTTTGATCAATATTTTCAACCAAATACACTCTTGTGCAGCCATGGTTGCTGCAATATATTCAGCTTCGGTGGTAGACAAAGCAACAACATCTTGTTTCTTGCTGCACCAGGAAACCACTGCTGACCCAGTACTAAAATAGTAACCTGAAGTCGAGCGACGATCATTTGAATCACCTGCCCAATTTGCATCAGTAAATACACTCAATAAAATATTGCACACCTCTTGTACCAAAGTCCATGACAAAGAGATTCATTCACATAGCGCAAAATCCTTTTTGTTGCATCTAAATGAGAAGTTGTTAGACTATGCATAAACTGAGAAACAACACCAACTGAATAACATATTTCTGGCCTTGTGATAGTCAGATAGATCAAACTTCCAACTAGTTGTCGGAACTTCATCGCATCCTTCAAAGTCTGGCCTTCATCCTTCTTCAACTTGAGATTTGGCTCCATTGGAGTAGCCTTTTCTTTCAACTTCCCAATGCTGAAACACTCTAAGAGACTCTCTGCATAACCTTTTTGAGACACAAAATAGCCTTGATCTAATTTTTTCACTTCCAAGCCAAGAAAACATCTAATCTGCCCCAAATTTTTCATCTCAAAACGAACAGATAGGTCATTCCTTAAATTAGAAATTTCTAATTCATTATCTCCATTTATCATCATATCATCAACATATAATAGTATCAGGAGATGCACACTTGATTCTAATTTCATAAATAAACTAGAATTTGAGTCAGAAACTCTAAAACCACAAAAATTAGGTATTGAGCAACTTTACCATACCAAGCTCGTGGTGCTTGCTTGAGGCCATATGGAGCTTTCTTCAAATGGCAAACATGAGTTGGAAATTGCTTGGAGACAAAACCGTGAAGTTGCTCCATAAATACTTCTTAATCCAACTCTCCATAAAGAAATGCATTTTTACATCGAGCTGTCACATATTCCAACCTTTGAAAGCAACTAGAGAAATAAGTGACCTTATTGTCACCATCTTCGCCACCGGACTAAACGACTCCTCATAATCTAATCCATAGTTTTGAGAGAACCCACAAGCAACTAGACGAGCTTTAAACCTGTCAATGGTACCATCTTATTTTTTCTTCAAGCAAAATATCCATTTGCAAGTAACTCGATCGCATTTTTCTGGTTTAGGTACCAATTCCCAGGTTTCATTCTTGTCTAAAGCATCAATTTCTTCTTGCATTTCTCTTTCCCAATCTGGACAACCATTTGCTTCTTTATAACTTAATGGTTCTTCTGTAGTTGATGCTCCTGTAAAGAAACACGAGGTCACCAAATAATTTTTAAGTTTTACCTCATAATCCTTGAGGTAGTCCGACTGCTTTTTCTCCCTTGTTGACCTTCTCGTTGCTTGATGTTCACCATCTCCTTCCCTTGAAATGTTCTGACTTGGAGATACACTTTCTGCCTCTTCATTACTAGGTGTTGGCCCATTTACTTTAGGAAATAATAGCTCTAAATTATCTTGATCATCTCCAAGAACTATAACCTTTTGAGCAGAAAATAAGGATGCCACTTCATCAAAAACCACGTCTCTAGAAATGGTAAACCTATTTGTCTTTGGATCCATGCATCTCCCACCCTTCCTATAAGAATCATAGCCAACAAATACACATTTTCTTGCTTTCGGATCAAGTTTGGTTCTATTAGTTCTGGGAACATGAACATAACACACAAAACCAAAAACTCAAAAATAGTTCACATTTGGCTTCTGACTAAAGGGGATTTCTGTGTACCTAGCCAAGGAGGCAACCTATTTATCACATGGCATCCACATTGAATAGCTTCAGCCCAAAGCTTTCGAGGAAGATTCTTGTCATGCAACCATGAAACACAAACTGAGGTAAGATAGGCAAGCTTTCTTTCAGCAACTCCATTCTCACTACTAAAAATATGTCAAAAAACGACGGCCAAAAGCGACGGACTGCGTCGCTTTTCAAAAAGCGACGGACAACGTCACTTTTTTACTTCTTCTTTTTGATTTTTTTTTTAACAAAAGCGACGGACTCCATTGCTTTATTTTAATTTTAATTTTTTTTATTTCTAAAAAGAGACGCAGTACGTCGCTTTTCTGGAAATTTTATTTTTGAAAATTCCTGAAAAACGACGGATAAAACCATGTTGTCCGTCGCTTTTCTGAGATTTTAAAAAAAATAAAACCCAAAAAAGCGACGAATAAAACCACGTTGTCCATCGCTTTTCTGGGATTTAAAAAAAATAAAACCCAGAAAAGCGACGGACAAAACAACACTGTCCGTCGCTTTTCCTGCAATATTTTTGAAAGCAGAACCTGGCAGTTTCTGTTGCCCACCTGCAAATGCAATTCAATTCAATTCTACACTATTCAGCCCAATCAAACACACAATTATAAATAATACTAAAACAACAAAACTTAAAATAACATTAAAAAGTATCTAAAATCAACAAATTAAAGACTGATAAAGTCTTTCAAATTTCATTTCAAAATTACAAAAAGTTCATAAATGTCTAGAGATCTAAACTAGGGGAGTGGGTTCTACATAATCATCATCATCACTCTCGTCGTCGGTGTCATCGGGAGCCGAAGTAGTAGGTCGACGAGAGAGGTTCATCACTTGTTCTTTGATTTGTTGAACGGTCTCACTCATACTTTCTTGTTCAGCTACTCTTCTCTGCTCCGAATCTGCTAGTGCCTCTGTAAACTTAGTTATTTGAGATGACATAGCAGCAATCTGAACACCATCAAATGCCTCGGCTTGACGTGACGATCCAATTCCTTCTATGCCTGACTGGAGTCATCTTACATCGTTTCGAGAGCCTAGACCATATACTCTACCCTTGTGTGTCCCCCTACCACTTTTTCTTTCCAAATCTAGGTGGAAAGTTCAGGTGTCAATTGAACCGAACTATCTAGATTCTCAGCGAATTACTGATGAAAGTCATTCTGCATATTAAATATAAAAATTGACATCACTATATATACATATCATAAATATATTCACTATTAATATATATTATTCATATTAAATAACTTACAGAAGTTCGTTCGGTCCTTTCCTCCACCCACACATGATCTCATTTTCTTTCTTCCTGACATGAGTCTTCTTGAAAACCTCTGGTTCAATGGGAGTATGTGCCAATTCTTTTTCCTATAAATAAAACTAAATTTATAACAATATATATGAATCAACTAATTATTTATTTAAAAGTTTTGAATTTGAACTTACCACCAACTAAACCACGTTATTTATTTTAACTTATTTAAACAACATAACAACTTTTTAACTTTAACAACAATAGTTTTGACTTAATTCCAACAACTAAATCCATCAACAAAACCGCATTATTTAATTTAACTTATTTAAACAACATAACAACTTTAACTAGTTTAGTTTTGACTTAATACAACAACTAAAATCCACCAACTAAACCACATTATTTATTTTAATTTATTTAAACAACATAACAACTTTTTAACTTTAACAACAATAGTTTTGACTTAATTCCAACAACTAAATCCATCAACAAAACCGCATTATTTAATTTAACTTATTTAAATAGCTTTATAACTTTAACAACTTAACAACTTTTTAAAGCTAAGTGTCAACACTAGATAGACACA